ATTTATTTAGGCCTATCTATGGCCTTCAAAAAGTTGAAGACTCTACATGTTTCGACGTTACAACGTAGTCCTCGGGACTCCTGAAGACGATGATGTAACAGCAAAACATGTAGAGTCGTCAACTTTTTGAAGGCCATAGATAGGCCTAAATAAAATGCTTTTTAATTGTGTACCAGTTTAATGTTGAATATTATTTATGATTTAAACTTTATACACAAGTGCCAAAATACTATAATCATTGGCTTATTCTTGACGAGACAAAGAAAATGCACCGAAAGTGGGGAAGTAGTGTAGAGAGGTAAGTATACACCTGAAATACATTTTCAAGTTAGTAAAATGTTAACAAATAACTTCAAATAGACATAAACTTGTGAAAGCTGTGTGTCTACAAATGAAACGGAATATTGTGCTTGTTTTTGTAAATATTATTGATTTTGTTAAATGCAACTTCTTTATTTTTGTAACCTTCTGGCATTTTCTTAACATTTAAAGACATGAAAATAAATAATAGTAAGATCACTATAACAAGAGAGAGGTTGATTTTTGTCTATAGACAAGTATTTATTTCATTTGATCATAATCATTGTACATCACTCATTTTATTTGCATAACATGATTTTAAATTAATTTCAGTTTTAATGAATAGTCTCCTATTGTTCTGTAGCAATAAACTTAAAACTATGTATGATGCTAAATATTATTAATATATTGTCTTGATGAAAGAATATTTTGGTTTTCATTAAAATGTTCAGCTCGTGTTTAGGAGTTAATTTTAGGGATATTAGGCTAAAGCACAGTAACTTGCAACAATCTTTTATACACTCAAATTTCCCGCATTTTGTTTTTGAAATTAAGTCAATAATCATGCTTTTCCAAGAATACAAATTCTGTAATTTTCTTTAAGTAGTATTTTTTCATTTGAAAGACTTTTATAATAAACAATTTCTTTATATTTAAATATATTAAAACAAGGTTGTGGATGTACCAGTATATGTTCTCAATGTTTTAATTTCTTTCATTGAGGGAAAAAAAATCCATAATTAGCATGATGAGTTGCAAATCTTGTATTTGATGTGAAAAGGCCAGTCAAAAGCACAAGAATTGTAAGCACCTGTTAATGGCACAGCTATTAAATGTTTTGCTATCTTGCTGTTTTATTTTTAACATATGTTAAATACTGAGTGGAGAGGAAGTTGTTTCGGAAGGGTTCCAGTTGATCATATTTGCAATACTAAAACCCCTGTGATGGCCTATGATCTCTTATAGCAGCATACTTTCCACAGCTTCATTTATCTAGGTCTGTTTATTGCATTGTGGGTCTTCTTCACTGTCTCTTTTGTGTTGCCATAACTGAAATGTTTTCAAAACTAAAGCTTATGAAACTTATCTATAATTTGCATTTATTCAGGAGATATTGAGTGTTCTCAACAGGACTTTAGTTGCAAACAATAGCACCCCAAGAATCATTTACAGCTATATATATCTGACAAGCTTTAAAAAATGAAGGCTCACAGAGTAAACCATGAAATGTGATATGCATATGTAATTTGGTGACATCATAAATGTGTGGAATAAAGAATTTAGAAACTGTATTCTGTAATCATGTTGTAATTAAATTCTTATTATCACACCAGTTTCAGTTTGTAAGGGAAAGTAGTGTTATCATTTATAGTAATTAAATTCTTATTATCACACCAGTTTCAGTTTGTAAGGGAAAGTAGTGTTATCATTTATAGTAATTGATTTTTGTTAGAAATGCTTATTATCACACCAGTTTCAGTTTGTAAGGGAAAGTAGTGTTATCATTTATAGTAATTGATTCTTGTTAGAAATGCTTATTATCACACCAGTTTCAGTTTGTAAGGGAAAGGAGTGTTATCATTTATAGTAATTGATTCCTGTTAGAAATGAAAATTGTTTCTTTTCAGCAGGTATATAATTAAAAATAACTCCTCCATGTATTTTAGTCTAAAATGAATTTTTCTTGACATTCAAAGATAGCTTTGATTTTTAACATTTTGATGGGACCAGCTCCATTATCCATGTTGTTCATAGTAGAAAAAAAAATTTTTAAAAGTGGGTCTTCCCTTGGAAAAGTGAAAGAAAAAAATCAAAATAAAATTTTAAATAACATCACATACTGTAGTATGTTTGTACTGGTTTCCACGTGTTTACATTACCCAAAGAGTGAAATAATAATCGTAATATAAAACCATAAATTTAAGCAATTGTTTCATATAGGAACAAACCATGAGTTTGGGAATTTTTTTGTGGTCTCTTTAGATATTCTTTTGATTAATGCAAATATGTTAAAATATATCCATCTTAAAAGTACAGAAATTGAATTATTTGACAAAACATCATGTAAGCTAAGCTAGGTTTAGCAAGTAGGCAGACTATGGAAAATATTCCGTTGACTGAAATTCTTATTTTGAATATTATTCGTAATTTTATCATATTCAAATAATGCACAAAAATAAATGAACTTATTATTTGTTGTAAAGAAACTGTATTTGTTAGATATGAATTCATCTTGATCAAGCAAACATCAAATGTAACTTGACAAAATTTTGAGAAAGTTTTTTTTTGCATTACTTTGGGGGCCTGCAATATGAGGAGCCCATTGGGGTGTTGCCCTGATTGCACAGATGTTAAGTATTCCACCAAGCCTCACTCACAAATAAACTTACTTGCACAAATTCACTCACAGAGGCAGTAACCTTCACTGTCTAACTGAATCCCAGATGAAATAATTTACTTCCTAATTGCCGTAACACAATCATTAATTAACTCAAGGCTTCATTTTTTTTTAACTAACTCACTAACTGACATTTATATCAATTCTCATTTTCTACATTCTGCATGAAATTTCTAGATTATTAGATTAATGAATTTCAACGTCGTTGAAAATGAATGGATAATTAAAATTGAAATTCTTAGATGAAAGGAAGTAGTTAATGTTTGTTGTTGTTTTTTCAAAACATCTCATTTCACAACTTGAAAATTATTTCATGTTTTATAGCAAAAACCAGGTAATATTTAATAAGCTTGTACAATTTAACTAAGTATTTCAAGCCTAGAAAGTGTTAAGTCTTTAAAACAACACTAAAAAAACATGACTTCCAAGATGGCAAGTCAAAGTAATTTTCAGTGAATTGAAAAAAAGAAAAAAGTTAGATTTTCAACTATAGATAACAAATTATTTGTATGTTAAAAATTGTTTAAAAAACACTAATAAACCTGCAGAGCATATCTAGAATTAAAACTTGTGAAAGACAGTGATGTGGAAGTGTTAAATTGAGTCCATTATCGTGCTGAGGGTTAAAGTTTGTTGTTTCATTAAATATTTGTGTGTTTTGAATTGATCATTTTAGAGCATGCTCATAATAGTCATTCAGTTTTTCTAATTTCAAATATTTTATTGTCTGAATATTAGCATAATGTTATTAGCACAATGCACATAAACCATTTAAAGTGATATAATAAAATTAGAGTTAGTTTCTCATTGTTAATGATAGTTATGTTTTTTTATCTTTCAGCTACCAGCGGACCAGCCAAACCTTGAAAACTGCTGGAGAAAAAACTACCAATGTTTTGGGAAACCTGGGGGCCAGTGTAACGAAGAAACTTGGAGAAGTAAAGTAAGTGGTGAAGAAAGGTCGGTTTATGATATACTCTCAGTGCTACCGTGATTTCTAGTTTTTTGTGATCATTCTTAATTTTCCTGACTTTGGTTTCAACATGACTTGATTTTAAAACAACGCATTTTGTACATACACACTAACATTTATGTATTTGCTTTTGTGTTTTTATTAAGATAATTTATGATCAACTCTCTACAAGTACTCGTGTCAGTAAGAATAGATACGTTGAATTCTATATAAAGGAACTCTGCAGGTACTCATGTCAGTAAAAATAGATACGCTGTATTCTGTATAAATGATGTTTTTCATAAATAATGAGAAACTGTTAACATTTTCTTTTTCTCTGTCTTCAAAAAGTTAATTTTTGCTTTTATTTTTTTATTCTTGAATCTTTGCAGCAGAAACAGAAGCGAGTGACAGCTTTTGATGTAACTTAGTTAAAAATGAAAATAAGATGACTTTGTGTAGGTAGAGCAAAGACTTCTCTGACTGAGACGTCAGTTTAAATTTGTCTTCAGAAAAAATCTGGTTGTAAAAATATTGTGTAGATGATAATTTATTTTTAAGATCTAATTAAAGACTGCAGCACTGAAACTTACAACAGCTTGATATGTATGTGGATGAGGTTTTACCAATGGCATCATTCCTAGTAGATGAAGAAAATCGTCCAGAATGGTTTCTATAAACCAATCTTCTTCATAGTTCAACTCAAAAATTTTCCAATTTATATGCTTGACCTTAAAATCCTTCATAATTAACAGCTATAATCTTAATCTCACTCTTAACATTTTTCATTAATGTTGTCAATCTCATCTGGTAGTCCCTAACAAATTCCAACTGAAAGCTTTCTAACCTTATATCCACTAATAGAAACCCAAATAGATTCAAGCTCCTTGCTTTTCTCTCTGATGTTCTCAACTTTAACAAAATGTAACCCACATTTGACGTATATATATATCCAATACTCCCTTTTTAGTTCTGTACTCCTACTGAACAACTTAAAAATCTGTATTTAAAAAAAAACATTTCTGTCTACATCTAACCAAATAACAGTTATCCTCTGTTCTAACAAGTGCTTTAGAGTCATTTATTTATGAAACTTCTAGTATTAAAAAGTAACAATTTAGCCTACTCTTAAAATTATATCTGTATTTTTCTGCTACATAATGATTTTCTATACATCTTATTTTGTCTGCATTAAATTTATCGTGACCTTTACCAATGTCTAGCCCTAGTTTAAGGCTGCTTTTACAACTGAGTTAATAGCCCCTGTCCTAGAAAGCTTCTTTTTCCCATCAAACTGATCCCACAAGTCATCCATCCAATCTGCTCATCTTTATATATTAATCTAAGTCTAGCATTCTGCTTAGTGATCTAGAATCTCATTCCCACAGTTAAGATGCAGAAAAATACCTGATAAAATTATATCCCTTTTCTTTAAATGCCTTTATTAGCCCCCTGTTCTTATGAATCAGCTATTTGGACGTACTTTTCCCTACATCGTTAGCCCATATGTTAAGAATAAATATTGCATCTTATTTTTTTTTACTCCGTGTTTACCTTCCAATCTGTTCTACATTCCTGAATAAACTATATGATGTTCAAGATGCTTCAGATACTGGTTAGTTCTTCGATGCCAAGTAGTTTTTAAGATATAATAATTTTATATATGGAGTTTTCTTTACGATCACCCTGTATAACTAATTGTATTCTGGAAATGTTCAACTGAAATAATGTTTTTAACTCTTGGGTAACCTGATTATATCTGTTAAATGTCTAATAAATTTATTAACTGTTTTAAAACAATTGCTTATAAAAGTCAGAACCTAGTATATTTTCCATTTATAAAATAATCCAATATATTTCCTTGAGAAACGAACTATTTTTTGTAATGGATGACTTGTTTTTTTTCAATAATGAGTAGGAATAACTTTTCCTATGAAAATTCCATCAGTGAATTTGATTTGTTAGAATTTTTATAAACATACATGGATCATTGGTGAAGTTACAGGTTTATTGTTGTTTGAAAGCATTAATTCTGTATAATCTTTTTTTTTACCTTTTTTTGTCATGATTAATGACTCTTCTTTAGGCCTTAGACAGAGCTACCAGTTAGTTGGATTGGTAATAAATTTTCATATCTATATATATTCAATCACTCTAGGAACTCGCAGACATTTAGATCTTTCGAAGAAAAGGTTGGCACAGCTTATGAAAGTGTTAAGGTCAGTATAGGTTTGTTTATGAAAAACAATGTTTTGTGCATGTGCAAATTTTACGATGACAGTTTCTTTTGAACTTACGAAATGCTATTCAATTGTGCCTTACAAAAATGTAAACATTCAGAATACATTGTTTAGCAAAGATTTGATTTATGTCATACAATGCACTAAGAAAAATAGAAGAAGAAACTGTAGGTTTTGAAATTTATCTAGTAATTATGAAACAGAAGAAATATCAATAAATTTATGTTGAAAGAAAATTTCAAGGATTACTGCAGAAAGAGTTATTGGAAACTGGACTGACTGTTTTAATTTAAAGTTCATTTGAAATTTTAAAATATGTATTAAAGAGGCATCTGTATAGTTGAACATTATTGTACTGTTTGTTCACATTGGTGATGATGTCAGACTAAAATTGTAAAGATATTTATACTTAGCAAGGGATTTGATATACAGTTTTAATGTAAAAACAAATTATGGAAAATTATTTAAAGCAATGCATGAAAAAAGTTAAGCTGTAGTTCAGTCTACAATTTAAAAGGATTAGAATATTTAGTACCAAGTAAAATCGGTGAAATACATACCTTTGTAGTGGTTCATGATATCTTACTGATATTCAGTTCTTGCGTATTTAGATACTTGTGTAAAGATACTCCAACCAGGTACTAGGAATTTCTCTTGTGTTTCAGGCTTGAAGAACATATACGTAATCATCAAATTACTAGCTTGTGTTTATACTATTTATAACTGGTGGGGATCCATATACTGCATCATATTGAGTAATTCTACACTCTGTGTAATTAACTTATCAATGAAATTAAGTGAACCCAGCAGTAATTAATAGGATTGATTCCAATATTAATGATATTTTTATTTAAATTTTTTTGCGTGATTCATGCCCCATCAGTAATTATATGGTTAAAACAGCAGCCTTCATTAAGTTTTTGTTGTTAGCAGCGTATGGTTACATTCTCACCCACTGTTAGCAGCATACTGTTACATTCTCGCCCACTGTTAGCAGCATACGGTTACATTCATTATACAGTTATAGTATGTATATTTCACAATTCCAAGGTTGGTATAGGGTTAATGTTGAGATTGGATATCTATATATTAAAAATTTCTGATAACCATGATTTTATTAACTGTTTATCTAACATTTTCTCCACTTAATTTATAAACAGAATAAAATTCCTGGTTCACGTAGTACTGGTGCAGACAACTTTGAAGAAGCTCTGAACGAAAAAGAAAATCCCACTTCAGGAAGCTTCACTCCAGCCACTCCTGAAGGAAACCCTTTGCCCTAAAGTCATCAAAAGTTTCATCCATAAATATGAAACTAGAGAAACCAGATACCTTGCGAAAATGACTTGTTTTTTCCTTTGTATATAGCAGTATTTTACTGAATAAAGTTTATCATAATACACCATAAGGTGCTGTTCAAGAATGTGGTTAAATTTGGAAAATATAATGTTTCAAGATGCATAATCTTTTGGCCAAAAGCAGTTTAAAGAAATTTCAGTAATAAAGTATAGGACCAGCAATTCTCAATGTTTATAGTGAAGACTTATTTTTTTCTAAAAAAAAAAAGCTAATGTATTTTACTGAGTTAAGTAATTTTAGTTGATTCTGTTCTATTACATTTCATGATTATTTACTCTTTATATACAATTAAAAGTTATTTTATTAATATTTCAATATATTAATACAGTGAATGAATTGGGTTAGGTTTTGTTGTAAAAGTATTCATTAAATGATTAAAAGTTATCGGAAACTTTCTGGTCAATAAACAGTTACCTATACAAAAGCCAGAGCTTATAAAGAAATTTGCAATTTAATGTATATGTTAGCATATTACTGAAAAAAAATGTTAAGAGTTAAGAATCCTAAGAGTTGTGACTTACATTTTACAATGAGATATTTAGTAAGACTCAATATTATTCTTTTTTAACTTTCCCTAAAACTTCTATGTTTAATCCTTACTTGAAACTATATAATTTTTTATGCATCTATGGATTCTGAAATTTTAACACAAGTTTGAAAATCTAGGGGGATCTTTGGTGATAAGTAACTGACCTTATTTGTGTATATAAAATGAATGGAATATCTAGAATGGTTAAGTCTTTGAACTTTTGCTTGAAATCCTAAGACCACAAACTACTATAAATACTGAGTTTACCAAACATCAAGGAGGACCAGTTCTCTTACTTGGTTTCTACAATTTTCATAAGTAATAGTAAATTAGTTGGATGTTAAACAGAAACTAGTGTTGGGGTGACAACCTGAACTAGTGTATATGTAATTATATAACTCTGTACAGGAAATATCTAACTGTGGAATGCAGTTGGTGTATTGATCATGTCTTCCTATGACAACTCAGTCATTTGATGCAATCATACTAAAAACTTAAACCTTATTAGAAATATTATCCAATGTGAAATACATTTAATTTTCAATTGAACATTGTGTTCTAATTGTTTGCCAAACTGAAACATAAAAGTACCTTTTGCTTTTTTTTCTTTCTTTCTTTCTTATTTCAGGCTGTAATATTAGCAGAGGTTTTCACTGGAATACTTACTATTAATTTTTAAATAGTATTAAGGTGAGAAAAACCTACTGACAATCTTTGTGTGTTAAACAATTTTTAATCTGTAAGAGCACTTCCTATTGGTCAGTTTATTTAATATGTAAAACCTTCCATCAAAATTATGTATTTGATATAATGTGTACTGAGAGTGAAACTAGATATTTTGTATGGTGTTTAAAAGATATAAAATCAATTTTCTGATCTAGTAATAGTTTGTAATTTTGTCTGCAAGGGGTAAATAGTACTGTGATCATTACTTGCTTTAAGATTTGTGTAATGGGAATCTGTTTAATATCTAAGTACTTTGTTTTGACACTTCTTCGCGTTCATTAAATGTCAGTGGTGAAACATGCACTCACTTTAGAAAATGGATTTTGACTATTAAACCTAAGTACTGTCAAAAATGGTTGTAGGAAAATAATTGTTTTTATCAAGAGTTATTAATTACTTACATTTATAATGTGCTTTTAAAGATTTTTTTTTACTAGAAAACCAATAATGTTGTTGTCTGAAAAATGTCACCGAATGAATAATCATAGTACTTTATATTGAGTTATTGTTAGTTTGCACTTCAACACTTTCAATATTAAGAAATTCTTGAGAAAGACCATTAAATGCTTTTATTTCAAAAACATTCTCTGAATTTGTTCTTTAAACTATATTTGAACCTAAAGAAAGAATGTAATGTAGTTTCTTTTGTCAATTAAACCAATCTTATTTGAAACAAAAAAATGATTGAACTATTACATTGTATCTAATTGATATTTAACTGCCATATGTCGAATAGAATATTATTATTGTGCCTTCAAACTTGGCTGTAGAAATGCACATATATATCTAAACATAATATTTAAATAAGATATGTATATCAAAATTATGGATATTGTTTGAAAATAAGCATTTGATCATGTATGGTTTTATCTGTAATAAAGTTAATGTCTTCCTGATTGAAATAAAGTTGAGTTGGTTATCATGTTGCTGTTGTGTGTTGTTCTGCTGATAACTGTAACATGTGTGACATGCAAACCAATTTCAACATAACTCCTTATTGAGATCTTTGAATATGCATATTGTCATTGATCTGATTAGATTAATATTCCAGATATTTGGGATACACCCAGGGTCCATAATAAATCAAAATATTGCCATTAAAGAAATCCAAAACCAAACACTTTCAGGAGATGGGCCTTTCTTGTTGCTGCTACTGAAGAAAGGTCCACCTTTACCTTCCAAAATTACTTGGGTTGATGGATTTCCCTAATTTTATAAAACATAATTATCACATGTAACTAATAAATTATACAGGAATAATCTTCTAAAGCCTACTAAAACATTCTAAGGATTTACCTCATACAGGAATAATCCTTTAAAACCTACTAAAACATTCTTAAGATATACCTTATACAGGAATAATCCTTTAAAACATTCTTAGGAATTACCTAAAATTTAAAAGAATAACTATTGTTGTGTGTTGTTTTTTTTTTCTTTTATCTGGAGTTCACCCTAGTTAAAAATGTTTTGTCTTGTCTGAACCCCTAGTCTTAATTAGCACATTTTTCAGTCATATATGACTACATTTTGAAGTGGAAAGAGTGATACATCAGTTATTTGAGTAAAATCCAATAAAAGTTCGTCAAGTTGCAAACAAGGTAGTTTGAACTTGATTTAAAGCAAAGTTGGCATTATTTTAAAATATGTTTCTTGTCAAGTGTATCTGTAGAGAAAAGATGAAAAATCTTACATAAATGATGCAGAGAGAAGATGAAATTTATATTATTTTTCACTAACTCCTTTGCTTTGGATTTTGAAAGGACATCAATCAGAAATGTATCCAAGTAACAAAAGAAACTTTTTCCAAATTGTTCCCTCAGTGCATTAAAAAGTAATGTTGCGTCAGCGAGGTCACGTGACTAGTGTCACGCCAAGTTTTCTAGAAATATCCTGTTCCTTCAAGAATGTGTTAGTCTTGTATATATATAAGACGGTCACAACGTGACGGAAACAGTAGCGAGTAACTGAACTGCAGTCAGAGAGTATTGTTGAAGTTGAGTACGTTCGTTGTTATAGCGCGACTGTTGAAAATAAGTGTATCTGTAAAGTTATGTTCAGAAAGAATAAACCAGTTTTATTAAGAAAGGACTTGTGTCGCTAAAGTTTCGTGGGAACGAAGTTGCGGAAAATCAACTAACGAACGGAGACGTAACAGTAAACATCTAGCCTAAAGCTATACTTTAAGCAGGTAAAACTAATGATGGTTAATTTTAGTTGAAGAATGTTCATTTTTAATTTTGTAAAAAAGCAAGTGTGTAAAATAAATGTAATCTGGTAGCAAGGTTTGAAGTTGGGTGAATAATCTGAGTGGTAAATGGGACATTTTAATTTTAATATGTGATATTTAGAGTTAGGAAATTTAATTGATTAATCAATTACCTATGAACAGCAATTGCATGAATTAGTATCAGTTAAGCTAATCAAAATTGGTGTTTTTGATTATTACAATTTTAGAATATTTCAATAATGAAAGTTTTTATTATATCAATTGTCATGAAAATAATTTAATGTAAATTAATGCTTCCAATTATGCCATGCTCAACATGGGTATTGAAGCCTGGTTTTGAGCATTCTAAGCCTTCAGACTTATCGCTGAGCCACTTGGAGACCACACAATGTAAGCTCTTCAGCAACTTCAACTGTGTTTCAGGTTTTTGTAACACCTGAGACATATGTCCTCCATATTTTTGTTAATGAAATAACCAAATGTGATGTAGGCAATGCATGTACTCTAAGAGAGATGCTCTAGTTTTATAGAATTTTAAAGGGACAAAAAGAAGCTTATTAGCTCATCAAGGATGTCCCTTCCAACTATAACCACCCCTTATTACTCATGTATTCATCCAATCTTTTCTTGCACTCAGATAAATTTTTTGTCTCCACCACCTTTGAAGGCAACTCATTTTAAAAGCCAACTACCCTGTTTAAAAAGTAATACTGTCTAAACTGCAGATGACTCTTATGCTGCCAAAATTTGAATTTATGACCCCTTGTCCTATTTTTTATGCTGCTAAACACAAAAGTTTGATGGATCTATATTATTAATACCCTCAATAATCTTAAACACTTCAATCAAATCCCCTCTGACCCTTCTCCTCTCCAGATAAAACAAGTTTAGAGATTTTAGTCTCTTTTTATAAGACAATCCCACCATCTCAGGTATTATCCTAGTGGCTCTTCTCTTAACCTTCTTCAACAATTCAATGTAAAACTGTACATAGTACCCTAAATGAGGCCTTACAAGTGATATATACAGTGAAATAATAGTATCCCTTGTCTTGTATTCAATATTTCTATAGATGCTACCCAAAATCCTATTAGCCCTATTGCTAGCTACAATACACTGTTTAGATGACTTAAATGAATTTTCAGTATCAACACCAAGATATTTTTCTTCAACCACAGTATTTAGTGTATTCCAAGTTAAATTGTAACAATAATTTTGGATAGTTAAACATAATCTGCCATGTACTGGCCCAATGCATCAAATGATCTAAATCTCCCTGTAGCATCTTTGATACAGTTAGCCACACCAAAAATCTTAATGTCATCTGCAAACTTGTTAGGCATTCCAAAGTTGATATAATTAATATAAATCACAAACAGCAGAGAAAGCAGCACATTTATATCTACTTCTCCAGCCATTCTTCTATCAAATGTAATAACATTTCCCCCACACCCACAGATTTAATTTTTGTAACAAGTCTTTTTGTGAGGCACCTTATCAAATGATTTCTAAAAATCAAGGTAAACCAAATCCACAGTGTTTCTTTCATCAATTCTTGCAGTAACATCCTCAAATAATGTCAGAAGATTTGTTAAACAAGCCTTTCCCTTAGTGAAACCGTGCTGGCTCTTTGACATTATATCAAACTGCTTTAAGTGACTCTGCAATGCATCTTTAATCACACTTTCCAACTACTGATATAAGACTAACTGGCCTACAATTGCCTGGACAATATTTATCACCTCCTTTAAATATTGGACTAACATTAGCCAACTTCCAAGGTTTTGAAAAGCACCCATCGTTGATCTAAATATAACGACATATCGCTGTCGTTCAGTTCTACAATGAATTTTTTTAAAAAGATGAATTCTTTGAAAAGTAGATCACCAGTCACTTCAATTTGAAAGAGTTGAACGAGTTCCACAAACTCTTAAAATTTTGGGACTTTCTTCAAATATAAGCATCTTATGACTTGGAATTTTCTATACTCGAAGTCGAACCATTTCTCTAAATAATTGATTGCTGCTTCGAGAAATTTTTGAGTATCAATCTCGAATCGTTTAACTGCTGATTCATTATCGCATTTCTGTATCAGTTGCCGAGCCGAAAATTTATAAAATGTTTCAGCCTTTTTCTCACGTAGCATTTGTAGAATATTACTCGTGATTGTGTATAACTCAATAATTATTACTTCATTTGATTCAAGTTTTTTTTTAATACTGGCTGAATATTAGTGCAAATGTTCATTACAAATCCTAGATTGACTTCTCCAAGCTCATCATCAAAAAACATTTTTAAAGTGAATGGCACTCTCTGTCGGCTTAAAAAATAAGCTTTAAAGGGCTAAAAAAAGAGACAACAATATTTCTATTGTTGGCAATAAAGATAGCCATCGGTTGGGTACATGGCGAAACAATTCAGACCAATCAGACTCCAACCAGTTGAAAAATTCCTTTAGTTCGGAGGTCTATTTATTGGAAGAGCTAAACTCTTAAATGTTTATGATGATTGCCTCTATATCATACTTTAGACAGTTACACCCTTTTAATAGCATTATGTATTTTATGCAAGTTACAATCAGCTTTGGACGTCTGGCAACCCTACTTGTAGGCAATACGAAATATGATGACTACCAAATTTAAAGTAGTTTGATAAGATGGAAATAAATGTGTGACAGGTTTAAACCCGTCCACTTTGTTGACTTGTTTTAGTTGGACTGTGTAACATGGTGTATGACAAGGATATCTTTGATTTTGGTTAGTGGTTGTCCCACACTTTTTTGTGTATTTCTGTCTGCCTGTACTATATATACACATTATTTAATAAACGTTTTTTTTAACATCTTATTTGTTTGTTCTTTTTTATTTCTACATAGTAAATAAGTCTTAATTTTTCTTGAAAAACAACTTACTTAATGTATGAATTAGATGTGTTCTCAAGGAATAAATTTCAACATATTATAATGTGCTATCATGCAAGGCTGGGTTAACGCAGGAGATTTAAGAGCTGAGCTTGGGGCCCCATGTGTAGTGGCTCCCGAAAAAGACTATGCTATAACTTATTATACAACATGTAAAAAGTTGCGGGTGACGTCATGGATCAGGACAGAGCAGGGCTGTTTTACCAGCATCTATTAATTTTTAGTTCTAAGAAAAGTCGCCAGGTTTGTCAGCAACTTTACTTACAATCTCTAGATATCTACCTTGCAGCTAAATATTGAAAAACGTCGCTACCACCCCAGCTTCTTGTATATTGGACACGGCAATTCTCACTCAGGTCATCAAACAGACCGACGCGGCCTTGCCGACATCCCCTAAGCCCTGACACAGTGTGAACCTATTGCCACCTGTCAGTAACACCGGCAGCAGGTTATCAAGGTATATATGAAGTATGGGGTATATATTGCTGCAAATCTGCAGTGTGGCTTTAACTAATCTTACGAATATTAAAGCCAACAAATCTGACTGTTGGAGCTTGCTTATTTTTTTATTGTAATGGCAAAACTTTGAAAGCGCGTCCATCGTCCATTGATTTTGACTTTGCTAATCCCCCCTGGAAAAATTTCTGCGGACGCCCATGCATATCAGTACAACATATCAGGTAGTACAAGTTTAGTTTGTGCAGACATGTGACCTATATTAAGTTCTTATTGCTAGGTTAGCTACGCTCAGTGCGTATCTCGTGGACAGGTATGG